GCCCTTTGTGTCCTCTCCGATGGACCAGGACGACCCGGACGCTGCTCAGTTGTTTCCTTGCCGTGTTTCCTTAACTGCACGATGATTCTGTTGACTGTCGAAAGCGGGATTCCCAAATTCTGCGAAATTTGCCGCTGACTTATTCCGCCATCTGCTTGACCAACTATTCTTCTTCTAACAAAATCTGACAATTCGAGAGAACCTTGAGTTCTAGGCATGTTGTAACACAAGATAATTAATGTGCGGACCCTTCTCATTTATATAGTGCTCTGTGAACACAAATTAGTTAGCATAAATCAGTTAAATTTCGAAAAATTAGGTGTCTATTTACTTGTGACCACTCAGTGTATAAGTAGTCTTATCTTTAAGACTGGACACTTTATTTTTTCTGCATAATGAAGTTATTATTTTTGGAATGACTTATATTGCAAGTACCACCCCGAACTTCGATATCGTAATTTATTACTGCCATATTGACAGTCGAATGTATTTTCTGTATTTTTCATAGTTAATTTCATTACACGAACAAGGAAAATTGATCAAAAATGGCACTTTTTTTCTATAAACCTTCTTTTTTTTTAGAATTTAATGCTCCATAGAGGGCACTGGTTGTGGATTCTGTAAGGGTGTTAGATAAACTTCCTTCGCTTTACTATTTTACGGATGTAAGCTCGGTGTTGGAAGCATGGCTCGCTTACGTCGACGTAGTGAGAATTTAAACTATGTTTACGAAACAGTCAGTGCACGTAGATCAAGCAGAGAGAACAATGTATTTAGAAATATGTTAAGGTTTTTTGACCGAAGGTTTAGAAGACGAAGATATTTGAATAGAGATCATGTTCGTAGTTTTATTATTTACATTTTTAATCATATGATAATTTTGATTTAATATTACACTTGCAGTAGTCTCAGCTAGTTGTAGAATTTCAAAGGCCGGTCCCATGCGAATTCTAATTTGTAGCCTATATCGTAGGTTGACTGTTGATTATAATATAAGTGTTACCTTGTAATATTAGAAATTAAATTAACAGTCATATTAGAGAATACAAGCTTAACTTAGATTGATCGATGGTAATTGATGAATTAAAATTAAATAAGTTTATAAGAGTAAAGAAAATAAATTATAATTAGTTGACATTAATAAGACGTTTGTGCTTTAACTTTTTAAGATGTTTAGTTCTATGTATTTTATATACAGTTTATTATGTGCAAGTTCGGTAAAAACTTTAAAAGCAATTTTTAATTCAATTTAGTATTAATGCTAACAGATACAAAAATGTAATTATATAAAAGTGTGAAATTATTTACTTGATACTTCTTCGGGCCTGGTATGGCCAGGTGGTCAGGGCATTCGCCTCGCGATCTGATTGGTGGTCGCGGGTTTTAATCCCGGTCGTACCAAACATGCTCGCCCTTTCAGCCATGGATGCGTTATAATATCGATCAATCCCACTATTTGTCGGTAAAAGAATAGTCCAAGAGTTGGCGGTGGGTGGTGATGACTAGCTGTCTTATCTCTAGTCTTTCACTGCGAAATTAGGGACGGCTAGCGCAGATAGCCCTCGTGTAGCTTTGCGCGAAATTCAAAACAAATGCCGTATAAAACATTAAAAATACAATGTGTAATGGGCAAATTTCTATCATTTACACTGTTGAAAATATCCTTTGGAGTGACACAAGACCTTTTTCCACATAAATATTAATTAAAATAAGAAAATATTGTTAGCTCCAAAGTACATATTTATTAATGAGAACTTCCGATTGGAATTGAAGTGTATGTCATTGTTGACCACTCTATCTGCTATACCCCGTGTCGACGAAAACTTTCCACCTATAACGGGGCTTTTCTGGCTGGGATACGACTGAGTAGTGGTGAGATGTTAGGCTTGACAACCATTCTTACATCAAAAGTTACATTCCTGAAATGCATGTCTATAATGGTACTTTTATTGGTACCTCTGGGGACTTATAAAACTAATGTTCAAGTTTCGTTACCCGTGGTGAGCACAGCACAGAAAAGCCATTTTGTAGTTTTGCGCTTAACAACAAACTACAGTCGTACGTCAAAGAAAATATTTCCTGCATTGAAAAAACAATCGATATTGCCTGAATATTGTAGCTTTCGTGAAATTTGCAAAGGTTTGTATTTTTGATCAAAAGGATTTTGTAACGAGGTATGGTAATTGAGCATTATTCACACCTTCTTAGATGTGTTTGTAATCTTATTTATTAAAAAATGGTTTATCTTAATTGTCGTTATCTTTTACCGTATTATAAAGGTGATGTTATATTATACTTGCTTCTGTAAACCGTAAAATCGAAAAACTAACTTGTGTGAGAAAAGCCCGACAGCGTCTTCAGTACTAGTTAAAATAGAACGTGTGCAAAAGATGAGCAGTTGAACTTATGGGTAGTAGAAACTTCGCAAAGCGCTTATAGTAATAAATATGCATTGTTTAAAGGTATTAAAAGTATAAAAAATAAGGTAGCGTTAGTTATTTAGACAACAAACAGTTGCATTAAGCCTAATTATACACTGAAATGTTATTATCGTGTAGGAGTCTACTCACTGTCTAGATAAACACCCATCTCGTGGAACTTTTTCAAAAACAAAAGCGCGTTTAATTTGAACGTTTTAATAATTATAACATCACAAATAGTTTAAAATGTGTATTGCTGCCAAGAAAAGTTAAAATATTTTAATAAATTTGTTTCGTAATTTCATTTAAAAATTATCAGTGCAACCATTTACAGTATTGTAATACACCATATCATTGTTATTTATAAAAATTATGTATTTTTTGTTAAGGATTTGAAATTTTACCTCTAGTACATAAAGAACTTTAGGTGATTCAAGGTAGACTGTGGGTGGTCTGTTTGAGTAATCCAATGTAAAAGTTTGAAATGCAGGCTTAAATATAAGGAATAACAAATTTAGACTTTGAAAGTATAGTTTAAGACTTCTGTTTTTGGCATATATATTTATTTAGCTGTGAATTTATGAAATCGTTTTTCTGAGGCGATAGTTGTGTGTTGTTTTTGGTTAAGTATATATAAGAGAGTGACTAATTTTAGTTACATATTTGATGTATTAGTGGTTTGAAGGGTGACCTTGATTAGCTAAGTGTCTTTATGTTATGGTAATTTTCCTGGTGTTTATAAGCAAATAGTTCTGATAATTTAATATGTTTGATATTGGTTTTGAACTTACTACAGGTTGATGAATCAGTTGATGAAACAATAGATATAGCAGTACAGGATCTTCGTCCAACTTCAAGGCAAGCTGATGTGGAGGCTGTGGCTTTACAAAGACAAAAGAGCAATGTGTCAAGGCTCAGTAGGACCGAATCTATAACCCCCACCCGGTACATGGCAGGAAGGGGGTCCATTTCATTCTGGAAGAACTTTGAGTATGAACAACAGGTAATTGAAATAAACAAGAAATATTAGAATTTTTAGTGGATTCAAAAGTTGTATATCAAATTACCGTATTTTTCGGAATATAAGACGCACCGATGTATAAGACGCACCCTTGTTTTGAAGACAACGTTTTTTGGGGGAAAAGCTACAGTCGTATTTAAAAGATTTTTATTGAACAAAAATTCAATTTGACATTTTAAAAATTAGTATATATATTGTTCTAAAC